TTAGATATCCCTTAGAGAAAAATAAACTTTCTAATTTTTTTTTTTTAATTTCTTAACTTTCTCTTTTCTACTACGGCGTATTGAATTAACTTATTCACAATTTTAATGATTGAGGTCCTAAAGCATCTTATCACACATGTAAAAATGCAATAATTATAATAATAAGACACACAAAATAAACAAAATTAAATTTAGTAGCCTAAAAATCGGCAATTTTGAATAAAAAAAATAAAATTCAAATATCTCGAAAAGGGTTAAGTTTAGGGTAGGGTGTTTCATAGTAAAATAAGTCGGAAATGATGAGTACTCCACGCCCTTAACGGATCTAGCACGACTTTTCCTGTAACCCTGTATACCTATGTACCTTTAGTAGCAGTAGAGCTCATTGTGAAAGAGTTCGTCCAGGAAAGTAGTGACACCTTACCTATTTCTGCAGCCAAGTATGTGATCACGGAACGCAATACGTAGCGTTCCGCTTTTGTAGGGTAAGGGTGCTGTCGTTACATCAGGGTATTTCTATTATCGAGATAAATAACTATGAGTTTCACGCCTGGTAATATTCAGATATAACGACAACTAATTTTTAATATCATATAGTGTCTCACGAGGGTTGAGAGATTCTATTCTATTGGTAATTTTATTCTTACACATACTCAATTCTAATGGGGATTCTTCCCCTTACAAGCCTCCCTAACCACCCCTTACAGCTTGCCCGTACCACCATAATATTTCTTAACCCCGCAGTCATTCCCTCAGAAAGAGTGGGGTTCAGTTCTGTCCTATTCTGATACGAGTTCTAGTTCTACACTCACCTCCGATTGCTCCATTGGAACAGCCGGAGCTTCTTTCTATAAGTTCTATTTTAATACGTACTAACTTTTCCTCTCTTATCCCACATCTCCTAATAATATTCATTGGACTTACATGATTCTTATGTTCAATGTCGCTTCTCCGAGTTCATCACTTTTCTCACCTTGAATAAATCTCTCCCGCCAGATACTTACGTGTGCGCTCAAAATACCGGTGTCTCCTGTCACCGTCAATTTCTTAAACTCACCATTATATGACATGGCTGCCAACATTGACATCATTAATTCTGTTCAGAAACTTATCTATTTCATCGAAGCTCACGTTTGTCGCGATAGGTGCTGGTGAAATTACAATCCCGTGAGACCTGTCAACTTATGTCTTAAGGTGACGTGCGCAGTAGCAGTGCCCCTCAGATCTTTGCGATTTAAATCTGAGTGGCACTGCAAATGTTACGGACACGCATGTAGCTTACTACCAGGCGCACGACTTGTTCGTCCTGTCACTTGCTATCGTAAAAAACCGGGTATAAAGAAAATTCTGAGATAAGTTTCTCTTGCGGCCGGGCATGGGGTAATTTTCTACAGGCCGTGACCACTCCCTTTCCCTTGATGATCTATCAAACTAATACGTTTCTGAAAACTGCTTTTGTACGTGGACGCTGCCGAATAGATCATCGAGTATGAGAACCGAATGCGACAGTACTCCACGCCGGATAAGGTATTTCGATACTTTGCCACACTGCAAGCGCAGCATCACGATCAACATGAAGTCTTTATGACACCTGACGATTTTCTGCGCTCCATGACTCCGGGAGTTAAACAGCCTGACGGTAAAGTACTAAGAACGGCTAAGCAATGTTAGTCCAATAGTTTTTCACACATATTTACGTTAAATGGAGAACGGTTTATAGCCCTGATTTATGTGTAAATTTCAGCATCGCGCCTCTAATACATAACAACTGTTGTAGATAGGCATTGACTTACAAATAAATGGACGACGGGTCTAATACAAAAACCACGAAAAAATGTCCCAAGTCAACCTATTTAAACGTAGTGATATGTAAAGGAATATGAAAAAGCTAAAATGTTGAATTTAAATTGTAATGCATTGCAGTACAGCTTAATTTTGCTTACAACAATTGAAAGGCGCAAAAAAAACACCATATTGAGCTTCTACTGGAAACTTATCAAAATGCACCATATGTAGCTTCTAGTGAAAACTGCTTGAACACAGGTATAATGGAGTAGCCTTTATTATTTATAAATAAATTTTATACGTAAATGTTGAATTTTATACAATGCCATTTATTACGAGCTAGGGTGTCTAACTTTTTTTTCTTGAGTTTCGAGAATTCTCGTACCCGATTTGTCGAGTTATTCAAGATTTTTTTTAAAAACCGTAAAAAATCAGCTCAATCAACTATGAAACTGAATGTAAACTTTTCGAAAGTTGTTTTGGCCTGGGTGTTCCGAGTTATGCCCCGGAATAAATTCCATCGTCTTGGTCCCAAGTTCGATTCCCAGTAGAACCAATTTGGGAAATGAACTTTTGTAAATTGGTTCTGCTCTGGGATTCTGTTGCTCTGATACTCATGGAGAGTATATACAGAGAGTTCCCTAGTATCAGACCAGGTGGTTGTCTTACAATTGAATACCAAGACCAGAACCATTTAGAAAATTTAATTTGTTAAATTGATCCTACTGGTATCGAACCCGGGATCTTCTCATCCAGTGCCCACAGTGCAAACCGTTAGGCTATCAAGGTTGTACTATTTGTATTATTATGCATTGTTTGCACGTGAAAGCTACAAATTGCTTAAACTTTAAAAAAAATCCTATTTAATTTGCACTGTCAGTCTACTTCAATTACCTTCTTTGTTTCTTAAGTTGGTATATTTTGTCATTCATCCAACTTTTGATTTTTAATGCATTTTAGCGGTGTAAGATGTTCTCTGTTAATACTTATCACTATCTTCTCAAGTTCAAGCTGTGTTTCCTGGATAAATTCCTGTATTCTCTCCTTTCTATGCACAGTTTACTCATTGATGTAATCACATACCAAAGCTTTAATATTATGGTCTTTGATCATGCTTGCATCAGCTCCAGTTTCCTTTCTTTTCTTACCATTTTCTTAACCCGTTCGTGCATAGTACTGAAATTATACTGCACTCAAAAACGTCACCACTTTTCTATATGCCGTAGTGCTTACATTGATTTATTTATAAAACGGTTTATCACTGACGACGGTTGATTCCGTCAACAGGCATAGTCGTACTGCTCATAGTTCTTGCAAATGTTTCTTGTGCATGAAAAAGTACGGCTATGACGGTAGTAGGGTATTTGCCGTTGTGAGATAATTACAAAATTAAAATGCGCGATATTGATTGCGCAAAAGAAACGCTTTCCAAAATAGACACTTAGGTACTAATTAATAATAATAATTATAATAACCCAAACACTCAACATTGCCCCGCATTAGGGAAACCCTGAGTCGCGGGTGCCATGGACACACATATAGACAACCACAAATTACACCCAAACTCACGAGAGAAATAAATGTAGGCCATACACATATTTCTCCCGAAAAACCAAAAAAAAATACTTTCGGGATTATGGAAATTCATGCAAACGTTATTTCGGGCAAATGTATTTTCGATCTTCTGATTCGTAACCCCGAGCCGTAGAAAGAGTACAACAATATTTGAAAGTATTACTAACATGTATTAAAAAATATTTTAATAATAATATTAGCATCAAAGCGACTCTATGAAATCTTTGTTCTAAATATTTCAAACGCTTGTATTTCAAACAATTGAAATTGACGTGATGGGTTTCGTTCAGTCTTTTACGCAAGCAATGAGTCGGAAAGAGCCAGTTAGCTATTTGATTATTTTGATTGGTTTTGTAATTTATATTTACGATTAATTTAAATATAAATTAAATACTATATATACTAGTGCATAAAATAACCATAAAATAAAATAAATGATAACTATGAAAGCATAAAATAAATGATAACTATGATAACACAATGTAGTACTTACTGAAAATATGATATACCATCCTGTTTTTTCACTTTAGTTGAGTAATTTTTACAAGGTTTTATTTACTACACAATACGGCATCATTGACAAGGGCGCTGTCAGTCGAACAACGAAGACTAAAGCGTGATTGACGCTGTGTACACGATTTTAACGCCCTGTAAGTTCGGACACTTTTTAGCGCGGACCCGACGTCCATTTATTTGTAAGTCAATGGTATAATAAGATGACGTCCACGTCGATATAAAAAAAAGTTCGATCGACAAAAAGAGGGGAGTTATAAGTTTGCAAGCCTTAGTCTGTGTATCTGGGTGTGTCTGACTGTGGCGTCGTAGCTCCTAAAAGGATGGACTGATCCCAAAACAGATTTTTTTTAAATTTGATTTAATTTGAAGGCTAATTTAATTGAGGTGATTATTAATACAAAAATCAAACACAGAAGCATTGTTTTGATCCGACTGGACATCAACTTGTATCTACGCTGTACCGTAGCGTTGCTCTGCCAACTGAGCTACAGGTCGTGTTAAAAATTCGACGAAATTCTTCTAGGTGTCTGTTAATTGAGATGGTTTTTGGCTATGGTTGATGAACATCTGTTTTGCCAATTAGTGTAAGGATTTCAGTCATAAAATGAATATTTATTATACTTGGGCTCATTAAATTGGCCTCGACGGGTTATAAGCTTACTTTCACTTTTTAACCGACCTCAAAAAAAGGAGGAGGTTCTCAATTCGACTGTATGTTTTTTGTATGTATGTCGCGCAATAATTTTGTGAACCTATTTTAATGATTTTTGTTGGAAATGGGGTACCTCAGTATTGGTCCCATTTAAATTTGAAGAAAATATTCCACCTCTAAGGGTGGCAAACTAGGGGGTGAATGACTTTTGAGGTCGGTTTTTTTAGTACTCTGTACTGAGATTATTGAAGTACACTGTTTTGTATCAGGTTTTTTAATTTTTTATTTAAATGGTATCGTGTATAATTGAGAATCAGTAATTGAAAAGCATTTCTTGTTAATTTGACATTTTATTTCGCAGGATTGGGATTAGACCAGTACAAGCGATATGACCCCAAGGTAAGTGTTAGAGAATAAAATTACAATTACAACAAATTCGTAAATATAGGTACATCTGTCTTCTAAATATCAAATATAAACAATTTTTATTAGAATAATACAGATTCATAAAGTACTAGTACTTTTGGTAAATATATACACATACAGAAAATATGCATTGAGTTATATGTAAGTTGCTAAGTTTATGACAATGATTTTAAAATTTTTCCGCAATAATATAGGCCTAAAAACATTTATATCTAAGAAATATATGAAAAAATATAGTTTTTGACAACCAGTTGTTATGTACTTGTATATCAATATCTTTGCTATGGAAAACATCGACTACAATTTTTATAACATGCCTCCATTTTTTAGTTTAAATATACATATACTATAGTAATACACAATACACACGATTTATTTAACGTTTTAAAAAAATCTATGTCTGAACTAGAATAACAACGACAAACTAAAAGTACAGAATAAATCCGATACCGAAAACCTGCTTATAGTCCTGTTAAAGTTATATCACTCCGTGAACACTGCACTAGCACCTTCTTCCCTGCCACTCACGCCTATTTCTTGTCTTTTCAGAACATCGGTGAGGTACTGTCCTTTCCTCTTCTTGTTTCTCTACTGCTCTCAATTTGCAAATACGTAACGTTTTCTTTATTATGCACAAACTGGAATTAGTTCCCCCCCTTGCGTTTGTGCTGTGGCCCATTTTGTCACTTTTACGAATGTTAATCACATGTAGTTTATTTTACGACACATGTACGGTATATTTTTTGAGGTCACGTAGTGTATCCCTTTCCCTTTTGCTTGTCTTGTCGCTAATTCGTGCTTGACTGTTCTTTTCGAAAACACAGTTTATTTTAACCAACACACTAGTGAACATTCGTTATCCTCTTCAGCATGGATAGTTTAGATTCTTTATGTTTTATTTGGTAGCGATTTGAACAAAAATTTTCAACTTTCAACATATTCTGCGGCACCTTTACATTTGTGGCTTACCTTTATATTATTTTATAGTGTCTCGTTGCAATTTTGTTTAAATACAATTTATTATAAGACAGGATGATTTCCTTAATTTGTTTTTAGTTTATGTTTCATTAGATAATTATACGAATGTATAATAGGCATAACAGAATCATCAGTAGTACAACATTTCTTCGACATTACATTTGCGCTATCATAGGTCGCTAGGAACAAGTATAATATGTATTGCTTTTTATAGTAAATATTAATATGCTTTCTTTTCATTGTTTAATTTGTACAGACCATCAACCAGCGTTTGAATCTGGATCTGTCTGAAGACTCCATCTTCTACAAGCTTGGCTCGTCCGGCCTTATCACATTCAGCGATTATATCTTTCTACTTACTGTCTTATCAAGTAAGTATACATTTTGAATTTAGCATTAATATTTAAATTTAGCGAAACACTAAAGAACAAGTTATAAACTCCTTATTTCCTAATGTAATTGTTATAAACTTTTGCATCATATCCAAACATTTCAAAATCTATTCCATATATTTGCAACAAGTCGTAAAGCATTCGCTCGTCAAGCTGACTGTAGTACCGTTTTATTAAAGAAGTCGTGTTCTTACCGTCTCGCGATTTGTTCATCACCGTACGTATTCGCGTTCTACGGTCCTTCACTTTTCTGTCCAACACGTATCCGAGACCAAGTTGCAGGATCACAAATCTCGTATCTCTTCGTAGAGTTTCCACTTTACTAATAACGCTAAAATTCACAGCACACGGTGTACAAAACTGGTAATACGGCGCCCAATGCTCGTCGAACTTAATCGACTCATTTTTGTGTGTATCTATTAGGTACGACACGAATTCGTAAAATGTAGGCCCGAAACTTTTGATTGGTCCAAAGATTTTAGTCGCATTTTCTCTGTACTTTTGTACTATAGATCGCGCGAGTTTACGATAGTAGGGTGGAGTGATATTTTCCAACTTGTCTCTATAAGCAGAAAGTAATCTAACGAACGGTTCACGAACAACCAACAAAGACACCACACCGGGCGTATTGACGGCATCTCGTAGCTCTTCCTCACTGGGTCGCGGAAACTTCTTGCGAGCCAGCATAAGCGGCGTTTGTACAGTTCTTGATAGATATTTCTTAGTGTAGCCTCCTGAAAGTAAGTACATGCATCTCGTGTAACAAGCTATTATCTTTTACCTATAACACTTTAAACACAATTCAATATACTTACCCAGAATGTTAAACCTGTACATCCACGAGGAGCTAGCAGCTTTGAATATGTTACACCAAACGATGCTGTGTTGATGATCCACGAAGAATTCCTTACTGTTTATGTATTCAGTGCTCAAATGTCGCAAACGACACACGTTTTGTACTCTTTTAACTCGTGCATCTAGTTCTGCTAATGTTTCATTGTCGGGTTCTTGCCATTCTGAGTTCTTACTATCGGTTTCTGACTCGTCCTCGCCTAAAATTGGACCCTGCAACTAAGGAAATAATTGAGTAATTTAGTGGCAGTAGAGCTCCTTGTGAAAGAGTTCGTCCGGGGAAGTACTGCCACCTATTTCTGCCGCCAAGCAGCAATGTTAGCATTACTGTGTTCCGGTTTTTAAGAGTAAGGGTGCTGGTGAAATTACAGACACATGGGACTTGTCGACTTATGCCTCAGGGTGTCGGACGCAGTGGCAGTGCCCCTCATATCTTTGCGATTTAAAGCTCTGAGTGGCACTGCAATTGTTATGGATAGGCGTGCGCTACCATCAGGCGCACGACTTGTTCGTCCTGTCACTTGATGTTATATAAAAATAAAAATATCGTAGTTGCATAGTTAAAATGTTATAACATTTCTCTTCGATGAAACTTCTCGGGAATAAGCGAAATTAAGTAAAAAAAAACATTTTTTATTGATATAAATCGTTTGCAAAGTTGGGTACAGGAGTACAATTATGATTTGTGTTTATTTACCAGCCACTTAGAATAGTTGTCAGGTGCCAAATCCCAGTCTTTGATCACCGGCGAGTTGTCGCTTCTTTTGAACACTGTCATTTTCATCACTACTAAGTACAAAGAGGCCCAAAACAAGAACGTTATTATCTTTGCGCCACATCTCAGATAGTAAAAGAAGTTCTTTTTCAATTTCCACTTGAATCTTTTCCAGAGTAACATTTCTTCGCGTCATGTGGTACAAAGAACCTCGTTACTAGTTTTTACCGAAAAAAATTACGTATATATTTAGTTTAGGTCGACTATGCTATCATAATTTAATGAATATTGAAAATACAGTAAATAATTAGATCACGTAGCACTGATTTGTTTAGTTCTGATCGTCACGATGTTCAGGTCGCGAAAAGGCGGATTGATAAGTACTGCGTGTATCGATACGATAGGTATATGTAGAGATGTCCACGCAGCCTCCGACGAGATGAGAGCGCACGGGGCATGAGCGAATGTAATGATTTTGCCGTCGCGGAGCGGCTGTTGAAAGTTTATCTCGTGACATTGAAGTTGTGTTTGCTTACGTATGATATGATTTTCTTTTCTTAAGCTTTTTTTGGCGCCATTTATAAAACTAATTTTATTTGTGAAAAGAAAAATATTTACAACTGAATTCTAGTAGAATGCACGATAAAAGCCAATCTTTTTGTTCGTGCGTCACGTCTTACGTATGTTTTTGTATACTGTATTTTTATTATACACATAACGTCATGTTCATTTTGTAGTTTTCGACCCTTAAATCATTTAAAGAATAGTCATACGGAACTTAATGAGCGCTAGAAGATTTATGTACCAAACGGAAAAGTCAACTTTTGAGAAATGGCCATGAAAGTTATCTGTAAAAAAGTTTAAAAAACCCGAGAATATCGTTTTGGTGTTTTATATTTGACGTGTCCGATTTGGTACGTCTAGTAGTAGTCGTAGTGGTTGACGCTTTTAGACGAAAAATCACGTGTTTTGACAAAAAAGGACTTAATTATCAGTCATACTGACGGCCTCGGAATGTAAACATATTAAACGGTTTGTCATGTGTCTTCTAGAAACTATAAAATGTTAAATAATCATAGCATTATTAAAATATTCGAGTTTTCCGCAACCTCTAAAATTACACCAGTGTATGACAGATAAAATCTCTGATGACCCAATAGTTGACTATGGCAAAATAAGATCAGAGTACCAGCATTTGACAGGACGTTATGTTAAGATTTCATAGTTATTTGACTGAAACGATTACTTTATAACAATAAATTAATAAAAGAAGAAATAACTAAATCAAGAGAGATGCTTCTCTTGATGATGATGATGATCTTTGACACTGACCCAATGTATGACACTTTTGCGTATTTTTTGTAAAAATAAGAAAACAGATAATGATGTAACTACAACACCGTGTTAAATGTACTAATAATAGCATATGTGAATTCCGTTTAGAAGCTTTCATCGATTAACTCAATATTTTTTCAATGTAACGACTGTTTTTGCGAACAGGTGATCCGAGTTGAATGTGCATAGTGTTCTTACAAAAATCATTAAGACTTTGAGTAGTTTTAATGAATTTATTAGTCGGAATTTCGTTAATTATTGGTAAAGTGTTTATTAAAACTATTAAATATATGTACAAACAATTTGTTTTGTGTGTATTTGTCAAACACTACTCAAACTACCCATAGAAACTTACCACTAACAGAGTAATCCAAACCTACGTTCTCCGTCCTTACCAAATGGTCGAAATTAAGCCTTAAAAATATTCATTTGTACGAGTGCTTGACATGGGTGTCAACTACTACGAAACTTTGAAATTTTGCACGAGTGTTTGACATGCCTCTAAAATAAAATAAAAATAATAAACATGAATAAATACACACAAAACAAATTGTTTGTACAGTTATCTAACAGTTTTAATAAACACTTACCAATAATTAACAAAATTCCGCCTGATAAATGCACTCAAACTACTCAAAGTCTTAACGATTTTTGTAAGAACACTAATGCACTTTTAACTCGGAACATTTGTTCGCAAAAACAATCGCTACGTTGAAAAAGTATTGAGTGAATCGATGAAAACTTCTAAACGGAATTCACATAAGCCATTACTAGCACATTTAATACGGTTTTGTAGTTATAATATCTATTTTCTTATTTTTTCAAAAAACATGCAGAAACATTGGGACAGTGTCAACAATTGGTACATTTATATTACTATATTATTAAACGACTTAAAAAAAAAGAGGAGGTTCACAATTCAACAGTTTTTTTTTGTGTTTGTATGTTACGTCATTTGTGAACCGATTTCGATGATTTTTTACTACTTACTTAGTCACTATTTTTGTGTGCGAGATGCATCTGTCTACACAATGTGCTATGATCATGTCAAATGGGAATCATGTCGCTCCGCTATTACCCTTAGGGTGGGATTGGAACTACCCCGTAGTCTGCAGAGCAGCGAGGCCGTTTTTTTCGCATGATGGCATTAAAATCATCTATATTAGTGTAAGAATCCGCGTTATTTAATGACTGCAGGATTTATATTGAATTATAAATAAAAAAATGTATTGTAAATATAAAATGTACTGAAAATGCCAAAATGAAAAACAATTGTGAATAAACAAAAGAAACAAAAATAAATAAATTGCAAAGGAATAAAGAAGTATTTAACAAAAAAGAAATTGTATGTCGTTGACATAATTGCGCCCGCGCATGAAATTAAAATAAACCACCTATTGACACTTCAGTCACAATTAAGTATTAAAATGTTTAAGATACATTTAAACAAAATATATAACTACATATATTAGAACTATAGTAATCTTAACAAGTAGGTAGTAGTCACAGTATGATACAAAACTATATTGGCAATACAACGACTTTAGAAAATGCCAAATGCAATTGTCAGTAGAAAGATTCGAGGTTTGAGTTACTTGCTCATCAAACAATGAAATAGGGAACTCTACATCTGATAATTGGAAATAGTAGGAATTATTCTTCAAATAATCAGGACCATGCCACCACAAGCAGTTACGTAAAATATCCTTGGGATCTCCACCGCGAGACAGAATATCTGCTGGATTTGCCAAACCTGGAGTGAACTTCCATGTCATACCATTAGTTAATTTATTAATTTCTTTGACACGATTAGCCATATATGATGGCAATTTCTCCTCAACAGTGTTTATCCACCCCAAAGCTATTTTTGAGTCACAAAATAGAAATATTCCTTTTACATTACTTATTATGGTTAAGACCTTTGAAACTAGTTTAGATAAAAGTAAGGCTCCATTGAGTTCTAGTTTTGGAATAGTTAATTTGGAATCTAAGCCAACAATACGAGATTTGGCGCATAAGAGATTTATGTGATATTTTTTATCAACGGTTTGCACCTTCAAATATATGCAACAACCATATGCGTCAGATGATGCATCAGAAAATCCGAGCAATTCCAGTTTTTGTGCTTCATGTAGATGTAAGTCTCGAGATATAAAAATTTCATCCATATTGTATATTGAAGAATGAAACTCCTTCCAGATTTTTTGAAGTTTGGAAGGAAGAGGTGCGTCCCAATCTAGATTGTATTTCCACATTTGTTGCAAAATTATTTTAGCCTTGACGACTATAGGGCCAGCGTAACCCATTGAATCAAAAAATTTACTTATGGAACTTAATACAGTACGCTTAGTCTCTACTTCAGGTGCAGCTATAACCTTGCCGCTTAACTCAAATGCATCTTTTTCAATGTTGAAGGAAAGGCCTAATGCTTTTACTATCAAATCCTGATCAAGATCTTTCTGTTGAAAAGCGTATTTTTCCGTCGGAATATCTTGTAATACAGACATATCATTAGAGCACCATTTGTGTGGTTCAAAACCACCCAACTCTAGCAAAAGAAAGAGCTCTTGTTTTAAGTCAATCACGCCTTGATAACTATTGCTACCGCATAAAAGATCATCGATATAAGAACTTGTTATAATAGCCTCGCTCGCTAATTTATAATTGTCTTTATATATATTTGCCAACTCAATTAAACATCGAGTAGCTAAAAAGGCGGAACTTGTCAGGCCGTATGTAATTGTTTGTAACTGTAAACATTGTACAGGTTTATTTTTATTTTCTCGCCAGATAATATTTTGTAAAACGCGATCATCAGGGTGAATAAAAATGTGCCTGTACATGTGTCTGATATCGCACATGAGAACATATTTATAAGTTCTAAAACGCAACAAAATATCAAATAGTGATTTCTGAACGACTGGTCCATTGCAAAGAATATTGTTTAGAGATGGACATTTACCGGACCTTGCGCTCCCATCAAATACAACTCGTAGCTTTGTCGTTAATCTTTCGGGACGAAGCACGCCATGATGTGGAAGAAAATAAATTGGTCTGTTTTCCGGTAAACAATTATCCATATCAATTATTTTAGCGTGTCCTAATGTCAAATATTCATTGATGAAATCTACATATAATGAGTGGTACTCAGGATCTTTATCGAAACGTTTTTCCAAATTGTACAAACGTTGTAAGGAAATTAAAAATGAATCCGATAAATCGTAATCATTTAAGTCACATTTTCGTGGCATGCGAACTTCAAATCTTTTATTGTGTAATTTTACTGATTCTTTAAAAATCATTTCGCTATAATCATGTTCCGGTAAACATTCAACAAAAACTTCTGGCACGCTTTCAGTCTCCCATAACTTCCTAACATAAAAATCTTGATCAGAAATACTTTCCTCTGAATGCATTGAAGTGAAAAAGTTAATTGAAGGTAGCACATTACCGGAAACGATATATCCAAGATGAGTATTAATTAAAATTGGTTCGTTGGGAGCGCCTTCTACCTTTCCATCCTTCAAAACTCTGAAGAAGATATCGGCAGCCAAAAGAAGTGAAATCTCCCCTGGAACATTGTAACCTTTATCAGCAAGTTTGACAAAGCTTGCAATTGTAAAATTTGAAATGTCAAAATTGTTTTGTGGCAAGTTAATTGTAATTTTGTCCACAATGGAACATGTAATATTGACATTGAAGTTTTCTGTAAGTGAATGTAATTGTAAATTAACTCCTTTGTCAACCTTTTTTACATTGTCTCCTAATGTAACAATGTTTTTAGAAAAATCAAATGTGGAAACACCTAGCTTGTAAGCTAAGCGCTTTGTACAAAAGGAAGTTTGACTTCCCGAATCAAGTAAAGCGCGCACAATGTACATGTTGCTGTAAACATCTGTGACCAGAACTTTGGCAGTAGGCAAGAGTACATTATGTTCACTTGATTTGATAGAATGTAAAACTTGATTAGAGTTACTCTCCTCATTGACATGAATCAGCGCATTGTGGTCTTGATTGCAAACTGTGCATTTGAACTTGTATCGACATGGTTTTTCATGAGAATTCAGACATATCTTGCAAAGTTTTTTGTTAGTTATCAACTGAAGTCTTTTTGCCGGCGACATCAATATGAAATTAGGACATTTGTAAAGCTTGTGGTCCTTGGAACATGTAATGCAGTTATACACCTTTTTTACTTCGTTTGATACGTTCACTATCTTAGGTTTCGATGTTGAAGGGCTTGCTTCTAATGAACTAGCTCGTTTATCAATGAAATCGAGCAAATCGGTAATGTTGGGAAGCTTGTCGCTTGAGCTTTCTGAGTGGTAAAGTCGTAATGTAAGTGTATCAATCTTCCTGCATGCAATACAAAATAAAATCGAACTCCATTGATCAACTGGTTGTTTTAAATTTTGTAGAGCCATTATTTGTTGTCTAATCTTTACTGTCATGGATCTTAATTGATCTGGGGAACCATGATGTATAGTGGGAAGATCCAATATGGTATTAATATGCTTTGCAATTAGAATAGAAGGGTTATCGTATCTTTTCTTGAGTAATTCAAGCGCAGAAATGTACGAATCATTTGTGAGTGGTAAATTATTGATAATTTCCAAAAGCTCTCCCTTCAAATATTGTTTTAAATAATATAACTTTTGTATATTTGACAAATTTGGATTTTGATGAATTAGCGAATCAAACAAGTCTTGAAATGAGCGGTAGTTTTCTAATTTACCATCGAAAGTAGTTATTTCTATGCGTGGAAGTTTCAAATAGCTTGATGTTGCAGAGGGAGAGGCGCTGTGGTTCCCAGTTTTGAAACCTTTACAGCTCTTCAGCAGTTTTTCAATTTTAGCGAGCAAATTGCAATAATGCAGCTCAAACTCATCGCTATCATCGTCGCCCTCGTCAATGCATAAAATATCATGTTGCGTATTTTGGAAGTTTAGAAATGTTTTTCCAATACCTTTCTCTGAACTTCGAGCATGGCGTCGTCTACCTCAGCAGATTCCAAAAATTTCTCCAAATTTGTTAACGTCCTCTTATGTTGTCCTCGCGTTATTCGCAAGGACGTCAAGGTTGTAAGATCTTTGCCTGCGTGCTTTACCGTGCTTGAGTCGCTGGAGCAGGTTTCATATCCTTCCATTTTAGAAAAAAGGGTTTCGGCACCATAAATATGTAAGAATCCGCGTTATTTAATGACTGCAGGATTTATATTGAATTATAAATAAAAAAATGTATTGTAAATATAAAATGTACTGAAAATGCCAAAATGAAAAACAATTGTGAATAAACAAAAGAAACAAAAATAAATAAATTGCAAAGGAATAAAGAAGTATTTAACAAAAAAGAAATTGTATGTCGCTGACAATTAGCCTGCGCAAACGTGCCTGACGCGCTGTAGAATCAGGGCGGCCCCAGCAACATCCTAAAGGCATTGTTGTACTATATCCGCAGCGCGCCGAGAGTCCGTTGACCCGCAGGGCGCACGTGTAGAACACCTGACAGTAGGCTCTAAACAATGTTAGTTTGTTTTACAGGGACACTACAGCGCGCAAATCTGCGGGCCAACATATTACAGCGGACCGTCAGCGCCCTGAGTTCCCTCTCAATGTCTACCTCGTCCTTAATGTCATCAGTTACAAAATGCCCGAGATATTTAAATTGGTTAACTCGCTAAAGTTCTGCACCGTTGAGTGTAATTTTGGGTACATGAGATGGACACTTACCACCGACGGCTCTAAACACCAGAAACTCGCTTTTTTTAACGTTATACAGGATACCATGTGACAGTGCATAACGTTCAAAAACCTGTTCTAGACACCTAAGCGCTCTAACCGTTGGACTCACTGATGTCGTCCGCGTAACTGATGTTATTGACGCTGACGTCATCCACGCGATAGCCGTCCCTCATGCTGCTGAGCTCAACGATCAAGTCGTTAACCTATAAGTTAAAAAGCTTTGGCGAGGTCAGACCCCCCTGCCTCACTCCACACTCTAATTTGAATGACTCTGAGAGCTTATTAGCCCACCTCACGTAGCTCACTTGATTATGATATCAGTATTGAAATATATGCAACAACTCCGCTGGCACTTCTCTATCTCGAAGCTTGTCCCACAACACATCATACGACACCAGGTCGAAAGCACGGGAGAGGTCGAGAAAATAAGCGTTCACTGGCGTTCGTCTTTCAGTGTAGTACCGAATCGTATGTTTTAGAGCCAGAACCACACTCTCAGTTGAAAGTTTGGGACGAAACCCGAACTGTGCGTCGTGCAAGTGCAAATAACTTTCGAGACGATCGTCCTGCAGACTGTCAAGCACCTGTGCCATAATCGTGGCCAGTGAGATGGGTCGATAATTGGCCCTGTCAGTTACATCACCCGTTTTGTTTTTAATTATGGGCACTACAATTGTACGCATGAGATCATCAGGAAGGTATGAGTGGCACATGCATAGAGAGAAAAACATAGCTAGAACTCTTGGCAAGTGAGGTCCGGCATGCTGCAGATGCTCAACGCTGAGGCCGTCGTGACACGGAGACTTTCCTCATGTCATTTTTTTCATACCATTAAAAACTTGCTTTGACTTGCTTGCTTTGAGGTCAGTGTCACTACAAATCCCATCGTCGATCATCCCACACGATGCCCCTATAGGTGACTCATCCATGGTATATCATACATGGTATCAAGCGTCCTATGATGCTCTATGTTGTTATAGTGTGAATCGGTACACAAGACAAAATTCTGTGGGCACACAATCTGCCCCAGCTTATCACTACATAATCGACAATACTCCTCGATCTGATCTTCATCCCTCTCCCCCCACATTGTTTTATTGAGACTCTCGCTATTTATAGGCAACGTAGATTTAATAATATTTAGGTTACACGTAAGAGTGATGGGAAAGTGATCAGACCAAAATACGTCGGACACTACACTTACATCAGTAATAGTACTGTAAGTAGCTTGAGTGACAATGCAGTGATCCAGCCAGCGCTCCGTAACACACATCCGTGCACACACAAAATAAGTTAGTTACTACTTAACTGCATATATTTGAAAAAGATACGTGATTAATGTCCATACCGCAGCTCGACCTGTCATCCTTCTACTTGGAAGGTAAATTTACACGTGGCGGTACTATTGGTAAATGATATCTCTAGCGCGACGTTCTTATTTAAGCCTATTTATTTATTTCGATGGCGTGTGCTGGACTGTTAAAATTGCGCGTTTGATCTAGCTCTCGTGCCACCTACGCAATAGACAAGAATAATGAACTTATGCAAAGTATTATTTTTTTAAATAGATAGATTTAAATCTAAACGAGAAATTAACCTGATAGATGTAAATCGAAACGGCCGATTACTGCCAAAACGTTATGCCGTATCGTTGGCCGTAGCGAGTTCGGTCGTTATGCCTCATGATTAATGGTCTATTTATATTAAATTCAATTCAATTCATTCATTTCTTTATGATACACAGGTTACAAAAGGTGTTACAAAAAGTTCATATATGTGAACTATGATCACTATGATCCGCATTTCAGCATACAAAGTTTAATTTTTTTGTATAAACACACTAATGCAATAATTTGTATATTGTATTCATCCCGTCCAATAAAATAATATCAGTCACAATACTAAAATAAACATAATGTCAAAAATTAAAAAGAACATATACAATGTCAATTTTAAATGAAGTCTCTAATATTGTAGAATGCCATTTCATTGAGGTAATTAAATAACATTGTTTTAAACTCTGTAGCATTATTGCAAATCCTTATTTTAATCGGAAGTTTGTTATAGACCTTCGAAGCCATTACAACCACGCTTTCTCTAAGTAGAGCAGTTTTGCACGGTCTGATTTGTAGTCGATCAGAACGGCGTGCACTTCTGACATGTTGAAATAATTCAGGATGGCGCTGTACGAAAAGTGATAATTCAAATATACATATACAAGGATGGATGTGAGAGTAAGAATTTTCGGCTTTCTAAAATGTGGTTGACAACTGTCTTTTTTCTTCAGACCACAAATAGCCCGTATGCATCTCTTTGAGAGACTTTATACACTATTTATCATATAAAAAGCAAATAAAACAGTATATTCCAGCCTATAGTTAAAATGAAACGATCAACGACCAAAATCTGTATTAACATAAATAATGGAATTGTAAAGCGTTTTAAACATTTTCGGCTTTCAGCAAAAGTGGATACATTTCAGCAGTAGAGCTCCTTGTGAAAGAATATTTTATTTCCTATTTCTGCCGCCAAACAGTAATGTGAACATTACAGCATTCTGGTTTGGAAGGGTAACGGTGCTGGTTAAATCACAGGCACATGGGACTTGTCAACTTACGTCACAGGGTGACGGGCGCAGAGGCAATGCCCCTAAAATCTTTACGATTCAAAGCTCTAAGTGGCACTGCAATTGTTTGCAACGGGATAGGCGTGTCGCTTGCCACCATGCGCACGACTCTTGGTATTATAAAAAAAACGATATTGATCATTTTGCTAGTTATCGACATGTCGACATTTAAAAAGAAAATAAAAAAAGTGTCGTACTACACTGACATATATTATTTTAAAATTGCAGCGTCTCGACGCCACTTCGAAATCGCGTTCCGCATGTTTGACTTGAACGGTGATGGCGATGTGGATTGCGAGGAGTTCGAGAAGGTAGCCGCCTTGATCCGGCAGCAGAGCAGCATTGGCTCCAGGCACCGGGACCATGCGAATACTGGCAACACTTTTAAGGTAATTAGATTTATTAAAGTAAATCAACAGTCTATTGCAATTAAAATATATGTACTATAAGTCCATACTAAGGCCAGTAACAAATTTTCTAGAATATACTTTGAAATTAACAGAATATATATAAGAAACGTTCATTAAAAACAATAGCAGTTTTTAGACAGAGAAAGAACAAAAAAGAAAAAAGAAAATAATAATAAGAAGTAAACCCAACATAATATTCCATACGTAATAAAATTAAGTTACTTATGATATTAAATACTATTCGTCTACCTTCAGGTAGGCGAATTGTTGTGACATTAAATACTATTCGTCTACCTTCAGGTAGGCGATAATGTACTTCAGTTCAATATATTTAAATACGAAATACTTAAAGCAATTTAAAAAAAACATTACAGTATTTATATAAAATAATACACACAACGTCACTGACTTCATACATTATACAATACATGATACATTTCCTAGTGTCTTTTTTTTGTTGATCAAATCCTAAGTTCGTGTAAACTCAGCGAACATATCTATGTCATTAAAAACATTATTGTATGTACCAGTGGCGAGGCGTGAAAATTTTCCTTGGTAATTTTCCTTGGTTTTTTCCGTAAAAAATGCGCCTTGGCAACATTTAAACGCAACACTATTAGCACACACATTGACCTATCAACACACACGTCACAAATGGACATCGGGTCTAATACAAAGACCACGAAAAAACCACACAAGAAAAAAATGTCTGAAGTTAACCTATACAAACGTAGTGACATGTAACGAAATATAAAAAAATAAAACAGTTAAATTGTAACGTCATTGCAGTACTGCCTAATTTTGCTTGCAACAATTTAAGGGCCCAAAAACACCATATTCAGCTTCTACTGAAAATTTAACAAAATGCACCATATTTAGCTTCGACTAAAAATTACTTGAACACAAGAGTAATGGAGTAGCCTTTATCGTAAATATTAATTAATTTTCATATATATTATTATGTCGAATTTTGTACAAATTCCCTTAAAAAAATAATAAAGATTTGGGCAGATCCATGCATACAAATATTACTACAAATGTGAAAATAAGCGTGTACTATAAGAAATGTACCGATATTCCAACGAAACGTAAACTCAAATATCTGTAATTCCGAAAACCGATTTATAATAAAACCGTTACGCTTTCCAGTAATTTTTATGCTTTTCACAAAGACAAAATTAGCTTTTGTTTTGTAATCTTCCTAAAAAATGCATTTGACATTGTGAAAATTTGAGATAACGTTATTTCGGCCATATGTATTTTCTGACTTCTGATAGGTAATCCCAAGCCGTAAAACGAGTACAACAATAATTTGTTAGTTATTGCTAAACGTTTAATAAAAAATCATTTTAAAAATAAGATTAAAATCAAAGCGACTCTATGGTTTCTTTGTTCTAAATATTTCAATCGCTTGAGGTTCGAACAATTCCATCTTCCATCTTTTGCGCATGCAATGTGAAGAAAAAGGACAGTTAGCTATTTAATTATTTTGTGAGCTTTTGTAATTTATATTTACGATTCATTTATATATAAATTAAATACTATAAAGCTAGAAAATAACACTTTCATATGAGAACTATGATAACACAATATATTTGTTTAGTGAAAATATGATACAAAATCCTGTTTTTACAGTTTACTGCAGTAATTTTCACAAGTTATTATTATATGGCACTGCATGAGTGACAACCGCGCTGTCAGTCGAACAAACGAAGACTGTTGCGCGATTGACGCTCTGTATGCGATTTTAACGCCCTATAGGTGCGGACACTTTTTAACGCGAACCCGATGTTCATTTATTGATAGGTCAATAAGCACGCAAGATACTAGGTCACTTCAATTCACAGGTATGCTTAGTCTACACATAAAATAACCATAGCTTTTATAGTAATTTACATTTTAAGATGACTTAAATTTAAAAGTGAACGCTATTCGACCATCGAACGATTGCGGCATTTCTTTAGATGTTATAAAGCTGATTTTTGCGAATGTGTGCGTATATTTTGATGGGAGCGCGTAGATTTCATGAGTGAAATAGAACTCGCAGGTCCACCGGTTTACCTCGTGCTGATTGGTCGAGATACACCGGGACAAGTTTATATGTCGGGACAAGTTATTGTGAGTTTAATAATGAATATTTTGAATAAATGTTTTTTAAGTGGTGGGGTACGCGCGCTGCCACTGGTAAATAGGTACGCGGAATATTTTAGGCTAGCCGGTGGGTATCGAGTTATATGCACGCTTCGCCACTGGCACATGCCACATGACATAACGTTGCAAGAACTGCGTTTTGTCCATAATTATTTGAGTGGTAGGGTGTACTAAATAAACGTGTATCTTCGACGATAGCGTGGAACGGGAAATCCAACGCCAGGAACGGATCGGCATTTTTTAAAGCAGTAACTTTGTTCTTAATAGAGTTTTTTGCGTGGTTTTTATTGAACTGCGTGAGTATATTGTGGACCAAATGGGTTGATTACATACATGGTTTTCTATAGATTATTATTGTACTATTTCTATAGTGTGTGGATACAGTTCGCATTATCATGAACTTTAGTGGTTTAAAATTTGACTAGAAACGTTGTGTACTTACTATGTTTTATATTATAAATAATTAAATAAATTTTAATATATATTTACATGTATGTATAAAAATTGTGAATATTTTGCATGCCAGAGAGAGAGGTAGATCACAGTGATTCAAAATACATTCTTGTCATATCTTTGTTGATATCTGATGTTGAATGCTCAATAGGAAATTGGTATTTTTACTAAGCGGAAATATGTCAGATAACGAAATACTATTGGTTGTTTAATCTCCTCTTTACATTGGTGGCTAATGGCACTTCAGCTAGACATAGACCTCGTCTAAGGACCTCTCCTTGATGTTGGTGATGAGACCATTATCTATCTAATTTCACAAGCAGATTGCAGACTAAAATAGAATTTTCAGAATTCATATAACTTGAAAACTTACACGACTAATAGCAAACAAAGAGTCATGACGTGACGAACTCCAAACAGGAACTCTATAATATGTTTTACATTGTTTTCTTCACTGTTAAAGTAAGTGACACTTAGAAAATAATTCATGGCAAGGAGTTCAAATAATTCATGGTTTTATCATTCGTCGTTTTCAGGGCATTAACTCAGCTCTGACAACATACTTTTTCGGACAAAAACTCAACCAGAAATTGACAATTGAGAAATTCTTAGACTTCCAACAACAGCTTCAGAAGGAAATTTTGTCCCTCGAGTTCCAGAGAAAGCAGCCAGGTAATTAATTAAATAATTGATCTATTTTTTTGTTTGTATCAGTTATTAATTATACGCTCTTTATTATTTAACGTAAACTGGTTCAAAATAGCGGCATAGCGTCTGCCACGGTTTGCTGGAAGATGTTGGTTCGAATTCTGCCGGATCGAAGGAATTTTTTCTTAGTGTTCGATCTTTGTGTTAATAATTATTATTACAAATTAGTGCAGTAATTTCACATTCACCAGACAATCACCAAAAAACTTAAAATTGCAATTATTAAAGCGACATCTCTAGTCAGC